CAATGAGCTCCTCCAAGTTTGGCCACCCCGCACGCCTCATGCTAGCCTCTGAAACTAGAAGAAACCTTTGAAAAGAATTGTCCTTGATGTCTATATCTCGAAATCAGCACTGGAGCTAGACCTTGTTGCTGATCTGACCTTGTATCACATTGCCTGTTCCCTGGTCTAGGTCTATGTTTAATACCCTGTACTTATCTTTGATTTCAACCCTTAGCTCATGTGACTCAGCCGTTTGTGGCCACAGTGCAGGATGACACGGCATGGAAAAGGCTGTTGGCTGGGCGAGGATCCACCTCCCCAACCTCGTGGTCTGCAGAGTATTTATGGCAGACCTGACGGCTCCAGTACCACCCCCCCCTCCCAGGCTGCAGTTGGCAGCGGTGGCCTTGACTGCTGGCCTTGCCTCACAGGGTTGGAAAAATCTGAGCCTTAGGGTTGGATCGCAGTGGGTGTTACTTGCATTGAAACCTGTAAATTGTATTCATCCTTCTAATTTATGTAAGGTTTTTGTACGCAATTCTCAACCTTAGAGATGACAGATTGGTTTTTCTACTGTCATGTGTGAGCTGTAAGCCCCAGCAACATTGCCTTGTGTATGCCTTGTGTAAGAATAAAGTGCTGCAGTGGGGTGGAAGCCCCAACAAACAAACAAACACACACCACCAAAAAACCCTTTAGAACACATATAACATGTAAAACTGTTCATAAATTGAAAAAATAAACTAATGATAGTTACACATGGAAACCAAAGAAATAAACTCATGGTAATCAGAATAGATATTAAAGAAATGACAGTAAAAGAATCAATTTTAAAAGTTACACAATGTATAATTCCATTTATAAAAATTTTTATAGAAAGATTGTAGAAATGAAGAACAGACTGAGGAAGTAGTGATTGGGTGAGGGGAGGAAGGGAGAATGAATGCAACTATAAAGGGAAATACAAGACAACTTTGTGGTGATGGAATAGTTTATCTTGATTATGGTAATAATGACACAAATCTTCATGAGGTAAAATTATATAGAACTATACATTGACACAAATCATATAAAGATGGTGAAATATGTCTGTGGATTGTACAAATTTCAGATAGTATTGTATAAAAGATGTTATCTCTTAGAGGGGAAATAGATGGAGGGTACATGAACTATTTATTCCAGCAGCTTCCTATGAGTTTATAATTATTTCTAAGTCACACTAGGGAAAAAAAGACAAAACATATGGAGTATTATTCATAGAAAAGATGAGTCACTCTAGACATTTGAAGGCCCTAAGTATAAAATAATTGTGGTACATACAAGTGAACCTTTCTCATCTATCAGGTACAACTTGAAACCACAAGCAGCTGTATCTCCAGTTAAGCAGCAAGAAATAAAGCTGTATTGTGAATAATGGAACTTCTGCCTGGTGCTTGCAACTTGGCTAAGCTTGGCCAATTAGAATGTTAATCAAATGTTGTAATATATAAGAATGATCTCTCCCTTTCAAACTGAAACAAATTCTAAAATGTTAGAAGCAAATATTCCCCTCAGAAAGGAATTCATTATCCCAACTATTAAATATGTCTCTTGTTTCACACAGTTTCTTATGGAAAAGAACTTTTGTTTGAGACAAAATTATTTAATGTTTATGTATTTATGTATTGTCATTTTGTACTGTTGAGTCAGAACTGATCCATACCTGACCCTCAGCATGTTTTCAGAGGCAATTAATCATACAGGAGGAGACTGGCCATCCTTCTCTTGTGGAGGCCACCAGAGGTGTGTGTGTGTGTGTATGGTCAAGGAAATCTGGTGGCTAGTGGCAAGAAGCTGTGCTGCAATATCAAGGGAACCTCGTTGAAAGCTACCAGCTGCTCCATGAGAGGATGGGTAATCTCCTCCCATGCATTTAACTGCCTCTGAAAAACTCACCAGAGGGTCAGCTATCGGTTGGTTCGAACTCTGCGGTACATACTAATATATGGTCAAGGACTGAAGTCTTCAGAATGGTGGAAGCTGAACATCAAGATGACAAAGATTCTCACCATTGGGCCAAATGGCAGCACCATGATAGATGGAGAAGAGATTGAGGTTGTTAATTTCAACTTATTTGACTTAGCACTCTTGGCACCAGCAGTCAAGAAATCAGAAGACAATTTGCTGTAAGAAAGGTTGCTGTCAGTGACCTCTCAAAAGTGCTGAAGAGCAATGATGTCAGTCTGAAGACTAAGATACACCTGATTGAGGCCATAGTCTTCACAATTAATTGCTATTCATCAGAGAGCTGGACAGTGATAAAAGATGGCAGAAGAGAAATTGGTAAGTTGTGGTGCTGGAGAACTGTATTGAACATACCATGGACTGCCAAGACAACAGAAAGGATGAAATCAGGCTGCTCCTTGGAGGCAAGGATTTTGAAGCACTGTCTCACATACTTGGAGCATGTGCCAGGAGGGCTCAGTCCCTTGAGAAAGACATCATGTTTGGAAGGCTGGGGGGATAGTGTAGGAGAGGAAGACCTCAGATGAGATGGATTGACACAGTAACTGGAATAATT